CAGAAGCGGCGGGACGCCATCAAGGTGGGCGCGGGGACGCGGCTCTCCCGGGCGTCCCGTGGCGGCAGGACAAGGGGTAACGGGACAAGCGGAAACCCAGGAGTTCCCCCTTATTGTGAGGACGAACTTCTTTGCTGTGAGGGTGACAGGGCACTGGCTCAGGCTGCCCAGAGAGGCTGTGGAGTCTCCTTTTCCAGAGATCTCCAACCCGCCTGGATGCCGCCCTGTGCTCTGGGTGTCCCTGCTGGAGCAGGGGTTGGACTGAGGTCCCTTCCAACCTCAACTGTTCTGTGACTCTGAGATCCCCATGCGGGGATGGCTGGCACTGTGAGGCCCAACCGGGCTGCCTTTGCTTCCCCGCAGAAGGGCTACGATGACCTGCAGGCCATCGTCCCCACGTGCCAGCAGCAGGACTTCTCCATCGGCTGCCAGAAGCTGAGCAAGGCCATCGTCCTCCAGAAAAGTGAGTGCTGGGGGCAGGTGAGGGCCACGGCAGGGACAGGGCTGGGCACAGGGGACCCTGCGGGCTGAGGATGCTCCGGGGGCCGCGTCCAGCCCGGCCTCCCTGGGACAACCGGGCGCCGCGGCCGCCCCGGTAGAGCCCTGAGCGCCTCTACCCTCGCTCTGCCCGTTCAGCCATCGACTACATCCAGTTCCTGCACAAGGAGAAGAAGAAACAAGAGGAAGAAGTTTCTACCCTCAGGAAAGACGTGATGGCCCTGAAGATCATGAAGGTGTAAGTTGAAGCATTACCTGCCCCGTGGCCCGTTCTGCCCTCCCTGCCACGCGCCTGCCCGGGAGCAGGGGCTGGGGAGCCCCGGCTGCGGCCCGACGCGGCTCTGGGTTTGTTCCAGGAACTACGAGCAGATCGTGAAGGCTTACCAGGACAACCCGAGCGAGGACAAGGTCCAGCTCTCCGACCAGGTGAAGTTCAATGTTTTCCAAGGCATCATGGACTCGCTGTTCCAGTCCTTCAACGCCTCCATCTCAGTGAGCAGCTTTCAGGAGCTCTCGGCCTGCGTCTTCAGCTGGATTGAGGAGCACTGCAAGCCCCAGGTGAGCTGCAGGCTCCTGGGTGCAGGATGGGGAGCAGCTTCAGCCTCCCTGGGGGCCTCGGAAGGGGCAGGGAGCGCCTGGTGCTGAGCTTGGGGACAGGAGGTGGCTCGTGGGTCCCTGTGCCCGTGGGGCTGGTTTGGTGTCGGAACTGGCCAGCGTAAAACAGACATAGAAGTAGGGACATCCCCTCTCCTTGGGTTGCTTTGGAGGCCTTTTGGGACCCGAGGCTCCAGGGCGGGAGCTGCGGTTGAGCCGGGGTTGTCCGACACCGCACGCGCCGCCGTGACCGCCGCGGCCTGTGGGGCCCCACGGCCCTGTCCCCAGGCTCCGGGGAAGGAGGAAAGGCTCTCCTGCCCCTGGAGCAGCTCTGAGCGCGTGTCCTCCGTGCCCAGACGCTGCGGGACATCGTGATCGGGGTCCTGCACCAGCTGAAGAGCCAGCTCCGCTGAGCGCTCCCGGCGGAGCGCCCGCCCGGCGCACACGGAGCCGCCGGAGCCGCGCCACGGACACCCGGAGGGGCCTCTGTGGCTCTTCTTGAAGCTTCTCTGGTTTATTTATTGTATTAACTACGAAACCAAGCCTGGGTTGTGCCTCTACAGGTACCGTTACCAAGTATTTGTAGGGACTTAGCAAAGAAGGGGAAAAAAAATGTGTTTGTGCTCCTGGGGGGCCAGAGAGTCTGTGGCTCAGGAGGCCTCTTGGGCCTTTGGCTTGTCTGGGCCACTGACTCTCTGCAGCCCCCCGTGAAGTTTTTGATCCTGGAAAAAAAGTACATTAAAAGCTGTTGGTTTAGTTCAAGCAGATTGGAAATAGGTATCTCCCCTAGCAGCGGCCTGTCTTCGACCTCCCTGTGACGCAGCTTTTCTCAGGGCCAAGAGGCTGTTTTTACCTTCCTGCGGTGGCTCTGGAGGAGGCAGCGAGTCCCGATGCGGGGCCACGTCCTGCCCTGCGCCCACAGGACGGCAGAGGGGCCGCGGCGCCGCCTGCACCGCGTCCTGCTCCGGCACGGCCGCGTTCCGAGCGGGAAGGGAGTCCCGGGCACGCAGCACCCGCCCAGGCTGCTGCTTGTTAGAACTGTAGTTTTATATATAACCAGCCTTGATTTTTTTTATTGTTTTTTTTTTTCCTATAAATCACCGCAATCATACTGTAAGTATTATGGGCACGAGTTTTGCAGACGCCTGCTCTGTGCGACGCCGCTGAACGTGTCGCTCTCGGAGCGGCTCACGGGTCTGGCCCGCGCAGATACCTGGTGCACAGGTACCACCTGCTACCCGAGCACTAGCTGTTGACCTGCGGAATGATTGTACGGGAACTGCTTCACAGCAGGGATGCTCGCATCAGGATTTGTCTTCTGCAATTACGTTCTCACTGCCACAGCAACAGATATTTATTTTACTTTTCCACTAGGGAATAGCTCAGAGTCACCTGGTTTTTAACTGCTGCTTCTCCTTGATTTAGGAAAGCAAACTTTGCCGTGGGTTGGCTGCGGTGTGAGCAGGGGTTTTCAGAGCGGCCCGGGGGGCCGCACACGCTGCCAGGATGTTGCTTTGGGGTGAAGAACAGGGCCGTGGTGGCTGCGGGGGCTGCGCTCTGGGCTGCAGCCTCCTGCCGTGGGGGGGGGACGTGGCTTTTTACAGACCTCACATGTTCCTGCCGTGGGAGGAAGATGTGGCTTTTTGCAGACCTCACATGTGAAAGGGACATATTTTTCTATTGTGAAAAGTAATTAAATAAATTTTGCTGAATGTTTTAATGATTTTTTTCCTCTTATTTTTTCTTCTAAAGCCCTGCAGACGCTCAGCGGGGGCAGCCCTAGTGTCTGGCTGCAGGTTCCCGGGTCTGGCCCCATTTTCTCCTGTCCCAGCCGCACGGGGCCCCGGGAGCAGAGCTGGAGGCTGC